ATCTGGTGCTAGCAGTGGAATACTGAAGTCCCATACTATTACTGTTTCACCAGCTATCTCATCTCTTAGATCTAGTAGTAATTGTTTTTATAAATTTGGGGCTCCAGTGTTAGATGTACATATATTTAGGATTGTAATACTTTCCTGTTGGTTAAGACATTTATTATTATATAATGTGCCTCTATACTTTTTTTTTCTTTTAACTGCTGTTGCTTTACAGTTTGTTTGCCTGGAATGAAAATAGCTACTCCTGCTCACTTTTGGTGGCCATTTGCAGGGAATGTCTTTTTCCACCCCTTTACTTTAAGTTTATGTGAGTCCTTATGTGATAGGTGAGTCTCTTGACAGCAAATACATGGTTGGTAAATTCTTACCCATTTTGCAATTCTGTATTTCTTAAGTGGAGCATTTAGGCCAGTTACCTTCAACATTAGCATTGAGATGTGAAGTAGTAGTCCACTCCTCATGCCATTTGTTGCTGAATATGTTATTTATTTATTTATTTATTTATTTTATTTTTTTTATGGGTCCTCTGACATTCATGCTTTAAAGACGTTTTAGTTTTGTTGTGTTTCCAGGATTTGTTTCAAGATTTAGAACTCCGTTAAGCAGTTCTTGTAGTGCTGGCTTGGTAGTGGTGAATTCTCACAGCATTTGTTTGTCTGAAAAAGACTATCTTTCCTTAATTTATGAAGCTTAGTTTCACTGGATGTAAAATTCTTGGTTGATCATTGTTTTGTGTAAGGAGGTTGAAGATAAAGCCCCAAACCCTTCTAGCTTGTAGGGTTTCTGCTGAGAATTCTGCTGTTAATCTGATAGATTTTTCTTTATAGGTAAACTTATGCTTTTGCTCCATGGATCTTAATATTCTTACCTTTGTCTTTATTTTAGATAACCAATTGACTATGTGCCAAGGTGATTATCTGTTTGCAGTAAGTTTCCCAGGTGTTCTTTGAGCTTCTTATAGTTAGATGTCTACATCTCTAGCAAGACTAGAGAAGTTTTTCTCAATTATTCCCTCAAATATACTTTTCAAACTTGTAGATTTCTCTTCTTCCTCAAGAGCGCCAATTATTCTTAGGTTTGGTCTTTTAAGATAATCCCAAACTTCTTGGAGCCGTTATTCATTTTTTAAATTTTTTTTCTTTTTTTGTTTTTGTTAGAATGGGTTATTTTGAAAACCTTATTGTTGAGCTCTGAAGTTCTTTCTTCTGCTTGCTCGATTCTATTGCTGAGACTTTCCAGTGCATTTTGCATTTCTGTAAGTGTATCCTTGATTTCCAGAAGTTGTGGTTGTTTTTTATTCATGCAATCTATTTCACTGAGTATTTCTCCCCTAATATCTTCTGTCATTTTTTTTATTTAATTCAATTGAACTTCACCTTTCTCTAGTGCCTCCTTGATTAACTTAATAATCAACCTCATTTTTTAAATTTTTTTCTGTGAAATCATAGATTTTTTTTTTTTTTTAATTTTGACCCATTGCTGGTAAGCCAGTGTGATTTTTTTGAGGGTAAGAATCTTGTTTTGGCATATTACAAGAACTTTTCCTGGGTTACTTCTCATTTTGATTTCTTCTCATTGGGTAAGCTGTCAGGAGAAATGATTTCATGCTGCCTGTTTACCAATACTTGAAACCATACTTCTGTATTATTGTTTATTTCATGTTGTTTAACATAGATTGATAATCTTGTCATTGTTATGCCATTTTAGCTCATATCCAAAGAAACTTTTATTTTTTCTTCTGAAATCTCCTGATACCTTATTTTTATGATTCAGTTTTCCTCTAAACCAATTTTTAAATTTGTACCATTGTATATTAATTTTCTTCTTTACCTTAATAAGATCTTTTAAATGTAATCCCAATGTTTCTTTATAATTTTCTCATCGTTTACCTTAGATTTTATATCTTGTACTTATTTTCTAAAAATGTCTTGTGTCTCTTCTATTAATCTTTTTACAGCTTTATGCTTTTCTTCTGCATCTTTATGATAATTTCCCCATCTTTTTTTCTCCATAACTAAAAAAAATATTATTTTTTAAATTAGCAGACTTTATGTTTTAGGGAGATTTTAGCTATACAGAAAAATTTACAGAAAGTACAGAGAATTTATATATACCCCCCTTCCTAGTTTTCCCCATTATTAACATTTTACATTTGTATAATGCCTTTGTTACCACTGGTAAGCCAATATGGATACATTATTATTAGCTAAAGCCTATAGTTTACAATTGAGTTTACTCCATGAATGAGGCAGGAATATATGACACTTACATGAAAGAGTGAATCTATGGGATAGATAAATTATGCTTTTTCTTCTAAAAAAAAGAGTGTGATAGTGAATTATTTATATATTAAAAGATAAATGGGAGTTAAATAATTGGATCTAGTAGCTTAGATTACACTATGAAGTGGCAGCATGTCATTTGCTGGGAAACACATGCACATCAAAAAAATGAAAGCATATTTTGAAGCAAAATTATATATTAAGAAAAGCATTTTCCATGTCCCAAAGTATTTTTAAATAAATGAAAGTTTTATATTACTGATCACATAAATAAAAATGCATTAAAGAAACTCTGCCTACATACACAACTGAGGCAGAAAATTCAAATACTACATTGAGGTGCACTGCTAGCATCTTAACTCTTTGGGAATGCTTCTAACTGTGAGTAATCCTGGATCTAATTCTCAAGTACCTAAGGGAGCCTTCAGAGGTTAGGTAAGTTCCAAATTTCATTCTCAGTCAGCAAGAGGGAGATATGTCTTCTTGAAAAAATGGTTTGGCTGTTTACAAGTCTCTGCAGGGTCCAATTCTGCAATATTGTTAGTTTGTTCTGCAACATATTGGAAAACCAGTTTATGACCTATTCAATCTGAGTTTCTAGGGAAAACATGACTAGGCTACATTTCATTTTTTTTTTATTTTTTTATTTTTCAAATACATGTGAGAGTCAAGCCGTTAGTTCAACAATTGGTGAAAATATCACAACACATTTTGATGATATTTTGCAATCAAATTATGTTACTGGTAATAGTATAGAGTTTTTGCTTTATATTATTACTAAATTAATCATGAGTTCTATGTTGGGTGTTTTTAAATTGGCATTTTCAATTTTATGGTTAATGATATTTTTGTTAATTACTCTTAGCACAACGTTATTGACTTGAGAAGTTATAGTGTTTCCCTAGGTATTCAAGCTATTGCCATATTAGCACTGGAAAAAAAATCTGCCTAATTAGGTTTCTCAGCAACTTTTCCATTGAGGAAGCACATGAACAAAATTGAATCTTTTCAAAATAATTAGAATTGTATACATTTAAAGTATTGCTTTTTTGATTTAAAAAAAAAAAAAAAAAAAAAAAAAAAAAAAAAAAAAAAGGCCGGGCGCGGTGGCTCAAGCCTGTAATCCCAGCACTTTGGGAGGCCGAGGTGGGTGGATCACAAGGTCTAGAGATCGAGACCATCCTGGTCAACATGGTGAAACCCCGTCTCTACTAAAAATACAAAAAATTAGCTGGGCATGGTGGCGCGTGCCTGTAATCCCAGCTACTCAGGAGGCTGAGGCAGGAGAATTGCCTGAACCCAGGAGGCGGAGGTTGCGGTGAGCCGAGATCGCGCCATTGCACTCCAGCCTGGGTAACAAGAGCGAAACTCTGTCTCAAAAAAAAAAAAAAAAAAAAAAAAAACTACCAGTATTTCTTCACTTGTATCTGCTGCACTTATGACTCTTTGTAAAATGCCCTGGTCAGCGTGTTTCAATCTTGCTCAGAATTTCCATGGCCAATATGTGGTTTTGTAATAACTACCTTTTCTAGCTTATTATTTTAAAAAATCTCTTTCATAGAAAGCTCCATCAGAACATTACTAGACATATTGCCAAAGGAAAAATCAGGAAAAAGAAATACAGCAGCCAAAGTTTGAAAAGAGCGTTTACAGGGCATGTCCATATAAATATGTGTATTTTAAACTCCTATATTAATAAGAAAAGGTCAGTTTTCATAAAATCCACAAATATATTTAATGGCTCCATCAGATAGATAAGAAATGGGATGGGGATATGACTAGATAAGAAAAAAGGGCAAGGGATCTTTGTAAAGGGTTGGATTCCTCAGTTCTGTTTCATCAGCCAGTCATCAGCAACAGACCTAGATCTGCTGTTCTTTTTCGTAAAAATCAGTTAGTCCCTTTCCTCTAAGAGAGTAGTTCTTAACCAGGAGAAATTTGGCAATATTTAGACAATTTGGTTTGTCACAAATGAAAGTGGGGGAGTGTTAGTTACTAGCATCTGGTGGGTAGAGGTGGGGAATGCTACCAAACACCCTGCAGCAAACAGGACAAGCCACCACAACAAATCACTATCTGGACCAAATACTGCCAAAGTTGAGAAAGACTGCTCCAAGGCAAAATGGGAAGGATTTTTCGCTTATACTTCTTTTCAAAAATCTTTCTCAGAAACTCTTTCCCTAGATGCCAGTGAGGCTACCCTTCATGTTCATTTAAGCTTGATTTTGACTGTAAAAATAGATATTTCTGGGCAATATGGCATGGGAGTTGAGAAAAGTGACATCTATCTATATAATTTGCCATGGCAACACATTCCTTTGGATACCATTAAAGAAAATTTTTAATGTCTATCTGAAACATAAGACGTACATTTTAAATGTGGTATCGATTGCTTCTGAAACATTTCTGCCTCATATTGTTATATTTTCTCTGCTTGATGACAAGTTTCAATGCAGTTTTTTTTGGCTTGTGGTATGTTTTTTGCTTTTAGGACTTGGTTCAGTACAGATCATTTATTATGTCATCAGTTTGCTTCCTAAATTTCTGGAAAAGCATTTTTGTCCCAGAATTTCTGGCATACATATCCTAGAAGACATAATAGCAACTCTTCCCTGTTTAAAAAGTGCTATAAGATATGAATTAGTGTTGGCAGTGGATACAGTTGTTGAAGGACCCTGGGTGCGGAATTTGTGGCTTTAGCTGATTGAGATCATGGCAGGTCCAGAAGTTGATAAACAATTTCAGTTCACTGGTATTAAAAAATATTTCAACTCTTATACTCTCACAAGTAGAAGGAATTGTGAACTGGCCACATACGAAGGCATTGCTTTGATTATCTTATATTTTAAGTTAAGGTCCAAAAAATCTCCAGCTGTGAAAGCAACATAAATGGATTTTAAACTGTCTCTGGTTCTTAACCTCATCTGTTAAGTTCCATGCCTGGAGAAGCTAATTCCAACTCATCATGTGATAACACAATTTGTACAATAAATTATGAACCTGAAAAAAAGTATCTCAAAATAATAAAAGCTATTTATGACAAATCAACAGCCAATATCATAATGAATGGGCAAAAACTGGAAGCATTCCCTTTGAAAACTGGAACTACACAAGGATGCCCTCTCTCACCACTCCTATTCAATATAGTACTGGAAGTTCTAGCCAGAGCAATCAGGCAAGAAAAAGAAATAAAGGGTATTCAAATAGAAAGGAAGAAATAAAATTGTCTCTATTTGCAGACAACATGATTGTATATCTACAAGACCCCATCGTCTCAGCCCAAAATCTCCTGAAACTGATAAGCAACTTCAGCAAAGTCTCAGGATACAAAATCAACGTGCAAAAATCACAAGCACTCCTACACACCAATAACAGACTTAAAGGGAACCAAATCAAGAATGAACTGCCATTCACAATTGCTACAAAGAGAATAAAATACCTAGGAATACAACTAACAAAGAATGCAAAGGACCTCTTCAAGGAGAACTACAAGCCACTGCTCAATGAAATAAGAGAGGACACAAACAGATGGAGAACCATTCCATGTTCATGGCTAGGAAGAATCAATATCTTGAAAAACTGCCCAAAGTAATTTACAGATTCAACACTATTCCCATCAAGCTACCAATGACCTTCTTCACAGAACTGTAAAAATAATACCTTAAATTTCATATGGAACCAAAAGAGAGCCCTCATAGCCAAGTCAATTCTAGGCAAAAAGAACAAAGCAGGAGGCATCACACTACTGGACTTCAAACTATACTACAAGGCTACAGTAATCAAAACAGCACGATACTGGTACCAAAACAGAGATATAGACCAATGGAACGGAACAGAGGCCTCGGAGAAAACACAACACATCTACAACATCTGATCTTTGACAAACCTGACAAAAACAAGCAATGGGGAAAGGATGCCCTGTTTAATAAATGGTGTTGGGAAAACTGGCTAGCCATGTGCAGAAAGCAGTAACTGGACCCCTTCCTGACACCTTACACTCAAATTAACTCCAGATGGATTAAAGACTTAAACATCAGACCTAACACCATAAAAACCCTAGAAGAAAATCTAGGCAAAACCATTCAGGACATAGGCGTAGGCAAAGACTTCATGAACAAAACACCAAAAGCATTGGCAACAAAAGCCAAAATAGACAAATGGGACTTAATCAAACTCCACAGCTTCTGCACGGCAAAAGAAACAGTCAGTAGAGTGAATCGGCAACCAACAGAATGGGAAAAAATTTTTGCAGTCTACCCATCTGACAAGGGGCTGATATCCAGAATTTACAAAGAACTAAAACAGATCTACAAGAAAAAAACAAACAAGCCCATTCAAAAGTGGGCGAAGGATATGAAAAGACACTTTACAAAAGAAGACATATGGGAGGCCAACAAACATATGAAAAAATGCTCATCATCACTGGTCATTAGAGAAATGCAAACCAAAACTACATTGAGATACCATCTCACGCCAGTTTGAATGGCGATCATTAAAAAATCTGGAGACAACAGATGCTGGAGAGGATATGGAGAAATAAGAACACTTTTACACTGTTGGTGGGAGTGTAAATTAATTCAACCATTGTGGAAGACAGTGTGGCGATTCCTTAAGGACCTAAAACTAGAAATTCCATTTGACCCTGCAATTCCATTACTGGGTATATATCCAAAGGATTATAAATCATTCTACTATAAGGACACATGCACATGAATGTTCATTGCAGCACTTTTTACAATAGCAAAGACCTGGAACCAACCCAAATGCCCATCGATAATAGACTGGACAGGGAAAATGTAGTTGATATACACCCTGGAATATTATGCAGCCATCAAAAACGATGAGTTCGTGTCCTTTGTAGGGACATGGATGAACCTGGAAACCATCATTCTCAGCAAACTGACACAAGAGCAGAAAATCAAACACCACATGTTCTCACTCATAGGCGGCTGTTGAACAATTAGAACACATGGACAAAGGGAGGGGAGCATCGCACACTGGGGTCTGTTGGCAGAAGAATGGGGGAGGGACGGGAGTGGGGAGTTGGGGAGAGATAGTATGGGGAGAAATGCCAGATGGAGGTGAAGGGGAGGAAGGCAGCAAATCCCACTGCCATGTGTGTACCTATGCAACAATCTTGCATATTCTTCACATGTACCCCAAAACCTAAAATGCAAAAAAAAAAAAAAAAGATATGAATTAGTGTCATAATGACATCAGAATCTCTTAAGAGAATTCTCGAAGCAAGAACAGAGCAGTGAGTCAGGGAAATATGTTGATTTCACAGTCATTAGAATAAAATAGGATAAGTTTAAGTTCAAAGTAGAGCTAGCGTAAGTAATCACAAAGCCCATGAAATAAATAAATCACATACAGGAGACATTTGGTATTTCTGGGATTACTTTGGATTATGACACCAGCTTAAACACTCTAACTGTTGGACTCATTTCTTTCCTGAAGTAGGAATTTAACCTACACTTGTATACTCATAGTAGTGGCTTGAAACTAAATTAAACTTTACAGACATGTCATAGTCCATTATTGTTTTAAGTAGATTTTTAAAGGTTTTCTTTATAAGAATGATCCGCAGCCACAAATGTATACATTCTGTATTTACAATCTTAAAATAATAAATAATAAAATAAAAGGCAGTGCTATGTGTCAATTATGTGACTTGCTTTTTGTGGCAGACATATCCTCATTTGATTTTATGTTTGATAACTTCATAGTTGGGAACATTGGGAAAATTTGCTGACTTCTTAGTTTCAGTACATTGTAAGAGTCAACAATATTTATAATTGGTAATTTTCCCTCTCCTTTCCCAGAACTAATGAATTTATATAATAATAAAATAAACATGGTCCAAATTATTTACATTTTCAGTCTTTCTCTCTTTTTCCACCACACATGCCAAAATACAAACACAAGCTCATACATTTGAAGAATTTTATACATGTATGAATATTATATTTGTACTTAGGAATGCTGTGAAGATTAAGATAATGCATATTCAGTGCTAAGTTTTTTGTCTTGACATATTGATAGCCCAGTCATTTCCAGTTATGACTATTTCCAAATGTCAGACATATAATATTAAAATGCCTTTTATTAAATAATCACAAACAACACCCAAAGAATAGCAAATATATTTCTTTTTGTTGATAATCATCATTCCTTTAAGGCTTATATATGATTATTAAAAATTATATCACAAAATCATACATTCTAAGGAAATTTTGTATTATTTAGTCTCATCTATCTATCAAAAGACAGACTTTTCAGAACATGCCAGAGTTTCTTCTGAAGATATCCCTGCTCATATTTATCAAAATGGTACATGTAGTAAATACATCTTTCACTGCGAAGTCAAGAGGGATTGTTTCTTTTGAGATGCTTTTGAAGAAAAAGTAAGAACATCGTGTTGGGCATTTCCAAGTTCAAATGAAATAACACAAGTACAATGAAGAGCATGTTCTTTTCCACATGTGCCTAAACTTTTGAATGAATGATAAAATGCTTAATGGTTTTTAAAAATCATTTTGAAGAAACAAGCTTTGATGTGTTCTCTTTCATTTGTTGTGTATTTTTCTCTCAATTTAAAATAGATTTAAATAAGTTGACTAACTAGTAAAAGCAATGCTGACTGAGGAATAGGCTGCCCACTCTCTATACCTAGGAAATATAATTTGAGTTTTGGCAGATAATAAAATTTGAAATCTGGGCTGGTTTTAGGACAAACGAAATTAAAGCATGATTCAGCTGACAGTTCCTAATTTGCAACCTGAATGTTTCTTCATGATTTATGTCCTTATAAATGTAAATATCCTCATCTATTTTTATGTTTAATGCAGTTATAATTATTTACATGATGATTTGCTTATTGCTACAGCGAATCATTTGCATATACTGTTACAAAAATGATAGCTTAAAACTGGCATTTTATTATTTTATGTACACTTGCATTTTGTAAAGTTTGTAGATAAAATATATCTACAAATATGCCATTTTATATTCTGTCTTAGAAGTCCTTATGATAATTTATAAATTAGTATGTGAATGTTTTATGTTAAGCAATTGTGGACTAAGTACTAGACCAACATTTCTGAAGAAGCAGGAAACACACACACACACTTCTTTTTTTTCTTTTAAGAACTTTGGTCTCCACAATCTTATTTATTTATTTATTTAACTTTATTTTTTTATTTATTTTTTATTTTTATTTTTTTAAGAGACAGAGTTTCACCATGTTGGCCAGGATGGTCTCGTTATCTTGACCTCGTGATCCACCCACCTCGGCCTCCCAAAGTGCTGGGATTACAGGTGTGAGCCACCGCGCCCGGCCACATACACACTTCTAAAAGCATCAGAGACACACCAAGGCAGTGAGAAACTGCTGGGCTAAGATCCAGAAGAGTCAGAGAAAAGAAGCCCGGAGGGATGAACTGAGTGTTGTGTGCTCCTTCTCTTTCAGAGGTGTCTGTCAATTAAAAAGCAGTCCCAAGAGGCTGAAAAGCTGAGCAAATTTTTCAAGAGACTCACGAAACTGGCAACGGAAAATTAGGTATCCAAGTTTGTCCAGGTGGAAATGCCCTGGTGAATCCTTTGAACTGCATTTGAAGGTTATGTAAGCAAGGATCATGAAGTTTGTACTTCAGGAGGTATGATGAACTGGTCTTTGCAGATGTATTTCAGGTAAAAATTTTGAGGTGAGAAAAGCATCCTAGATTATCTGGGTTAGGCTGAATCCAATGATATGTGTCCTTATAAGAGACACATAGAGAAGAGCCACGCAGGAGAGAAGGGAGAAGCAATGTGACCACAGAGGTGGAGATTAAAATGATGTGGCTGGAAGCTAAAGAATGCCTGGAGCCAGCAGAAGGTGGAAGAAG